CTACTATACTGTTAATTAATTTTTTTTCTTACTGGTATCATGTACATCTGCACTAGTTCCTCTCATTTTCATTACATTTTTTAAATTCTTTTTCTTCATGTCAACATCTTTGTTCTTTTATTCTTCTTATGACACTGCTTTGGTACTAAGGCTCCAACCACTTAGTTTTTGGACACATGACAACTTTTCTCTTATTGGGGCTCTTTATGGGATATTTCCTTCTCTTACTCTCTTCAAAATAACATTGTTTTGACAGTTATGAGTTATTTGTTCTTATGTCATGATTATTTCTTTCTTTTTGAGACTTGTGTCGCAAAGAATGGAGGTAAATGTTTCTTGCCATTGTCTAGCATTCTTTGTCTGCAGTTGATGCTTACATGGGTTTGAACAGGCTTCTGTGCTCATTCAGTGCTATTCTGTATTAATTTCTTTATTATGAGTTTTTCTTTATGCTTATTACCAGATTATTCTTACCTTGTGATGTTGAACAGATATAATAACTTGTCACCCAGAATCCTCAGTGTTGGCTACTATTTTTTCTAATCTTCATCTGTAATCTTCCTTGGTCTGCATTTCGTTGTTCAGAGGTCTTTGGTGGTGTTTCTGATCCATTGGAAACCCAGGCTGTTCTGGCCCAAAATCAGTCCTCATTGTCTACTATGGCATCCCATTCTCTTGGGAATTTTGATGTCATTAAAAGTTTCATTTCTTTCACCATGACTCCTGCTGGATTTCCTGGTAAAAATCAGACTCCATATATAGGACTTCCTCTTATCCTCATAGATCCTGCCTGGGTGCTGTCTTGGGAAGTAAGTCTAATTCAGTTTATAAGACTGCCCATCCTTGCTTTATGTGAAAGATGTCTCTGATGTATACCTGCTTAATGAGGATATGATTCTTCATGTTACGATTCTTGTGGTAGTTGTTGCATACATCTGCTTGTATTAATAAGTGATGTTCTGTATTTGTTTTCAATTTATCAGTTAGGTTACTTGTTAACATCCATTAAAAAAAGAAACCATACACATCTATTGAACTGTAAGTGGGCTGAACTCTTTCTTTTTATCTGTGTCTATGTATTAGAGACACTGATGTTCTGTTCCTGTTACTAAGCCTGTTAAATCCACATCTTCCATTCCCATTCCAGCTTCTTGCCAGCCCACTGCCTGATGTTGGTTTTGTTGCCCATCTTGTTGGCAACTACCCTGTCAGCTCTGGTCCTGCAGGACCTTATCTTTCTTTCTTCACCAAGCTTTGATCTCCATTTTTTGTCCATCAGATAGGTTGTTCAGATTCTCCCCAGCAGCCTATCTCTCAACTTTTCTTCTCTTTCCCTCCTTCCCCCATTTTTCTTTCCAGTTCCTTTCCTCCTACTTCCCATTCCTCTTTGTTTGCAATTTCTCAAGAGGGTATTTTTTCTTTCACCTGATTTTACTCTGTGTTTATTCTGTATTTTTGTGTTATCTAAATTTCTGGGTTCTGGCATCTGGTTATCAACCTGTCAACTTTATACTGGTTTCTTATTATCCCACAGTTCTGAGTGGAGGGTTTCTGTTCTCCACATGAACTGTGGATGACCATGGTTGTTGTTTAGGACACCCTTTTTTACACATTCTGATTCTCATTTCTCAGACATTTTTTCTTTTTTTCATCCATAGGGATTGAGTCATTCAGTTCTATACTCTTCTTTTTAGCTTTGTGTCTGTTCCTTCATTTTTTCCTTGACACATGGGAACATTTGCCCACCTTGTTCTTGGTTTGGGACTGGACTTCTTATTTTTGGACAGCTTTATCTCCCGCATTTTGTATTTCCAGTTGCTTTCTGGTTTTCTTCTCCTGTTCTCTCCACTTTGTTTCGATCCTTCCATCTTCACCAACCGTCTTGTGCTACTCCCATGCCTTTTTTGTGCTCTTTCATGGTCTCCTTTCAAGCAGTTGGCTTTATGTTTATTGTTTCAGCTTCTTACTTCTTCTCACCTATTGTCGTTGTCATTCATATGTCTATGTTTTCAATGCTCCCTGAACTCATTCTCCTCAGTTCCTTCCTCCGTTGCGATCAGGTGGTAAGTGCAGACACATCCATTTCCTTATATCTTCATTATCTGTCTGTTTTGTCACCTTCAGGATTTTGGTTCACTTCAGTCACTGTTCTTCACTACACCTACATACCGTCTTTAAGAGGAGTAAGTACATTTTTCTTTTCAGGGCCCTTTTCCCTCCCAGGATATGCTAATTTACCAAAATCTGCATTGGGCCAGGTGTAACGGAAATTGCTCAACCCATCTTCCCTGGCTCTACCAGTGCTCACTGTAAGATAGGGTGTTCTGCAAGACCACTAGAGGTATCCTCGTGGTATACAGTTTTACTCACTTGTCCAATTCAGACCATAGCATTTCCATAGACTGTTATGGAAAAAGCCAGCACCAGGGAAGTGACTCTCCACTTCTTTGTTTTGCACTTGCTCAATTTTAAAAATTGGGTTTTGTGTTCACCCATTGCACTGTTTCTGAT